TGCATTCATTAGGGCGTTTGTGGGAGGCGTGTTTGAAGGGCACAGGGTGAGTAGTAACTTTCTCTTTCCTTCCCCACTGTTTCTCATTGATCTGCATTGACCGTTGTGCTGAGTGCTGTGGGCTTGCACACTGGTTCACCTACCAGTGAAAGTTTTATAAACTCTGAACTTCACCCAGTTCTTGGCAGTAGGCTTCTAGATTGCTTAATTATGTAGTATTTCTTAGATGTGGCCTAAAAAAAAAAAAAAAGCAAACCTTTGTGATCTAGTTGAAGGCCCAGATTATATTCAGCCTTTCAGTAGGGCATGGGGCAGAATCCCTAGCACTGTAAAAACATAACCGCTTTTCATCACAAGGCTCAAGGGAAAAGAATGTAAGGTGTATTCATGTTCGATTAAATTACCCTGATGTCATGGTACAAGCAGGCAGCTCCAAGGCTGTGGAACGGGCTGGTTTTCATGCTGTTAAAAGCATGAGTGAAGCCTGTTGATTGATGACTCTGTCCACACATGGTACCTATGTGCTGTGAGAGATACAAGCACTCTTTGTATAAGCAAAAACATGGCATCACTTGAGTTTTATTATAGATATAGTTTACCTAGCACCACCTCGGATCTCATAGGCTCACATGCCCAAGGGACCCTGTTTGATGTTTCTGTGGTCATGAGATACTGCAGCCCAGCCCACTGCTACTTCTTCCTAAAGCAGGACCTTGACTGGCAGCGAAGCCCAGTCTCCACTGTTGAAAGAAAAGCAGCTTTCCGGATTGCAGTCCAGCTCGATGAAGGTTCATTGTTCACATGGCACTCGTGTACCTAAGGAAAGCGGAGGAGGTCACGAGGAAGGTGCTGGATCCAAGGAAGCGCATTCCTGGAACGAGTAATTTGTCACCCTGGAAACAGAACTGATGTAGCTGCTTGGAGATCTTAGTTCTTCTCTTAGTTCTTTCCCACTCTCTATGTGAGAGGTCTAGTTGATCTTTACTGGACTTCATTTTCTTCATCTGCAAAGTGAATAGGGATGGAGTCGATGTGCTGTAAACTTAAATGTTCTATAATCCTGCTTAAAATCATTTCAATCCAAAATGACCAGTAGTTGGCTAGGGGCACTGGCTCATGCCTATAATCCCAGCACCTTGGGAGGCCGAAGTGGGTGGATCACCTAAGGTCAGGAGTTCGAGACCAGCCTAGCCAACATGGCAAAACCACATCTCTATTAAGAATTAGATGAGTGTGGTGGTGGGTTCCTGTAATCCCAGTTACTTGGGAGGCTAAGGCAGGAGAATTGGTTAAACCTGGAAGGCAGAGGTTGCAGTGAGCTGAGATCGCACCACTGTACTCCAGCCTGGGCAACAGAGCAAGACTCTGTCTCAAAACAAATAAACAAAAAACTAAAAACAGAAACAACAACAACAAAAAGTCCCCACCAAAATGACCAGCAGTTAAACTGCAGCTTCCTCTTTAACTCAGGTCTTGGTGCTATGATGGAAAAGCAAGCCAAGCCACAGCTAAATCATGTTGTATTAGCAATTTGATGAATCAGTTATTTCATGAACACATTTATGAAGCACCCATGAGTAAGGAATTGTGTCAGACACCAGGGAAACAAAGTACTTCCCTTTCAAAGCAGTTCTAGTAAAGGAGAAAGATAAGTGAATTTTAGTAAAGGAGACAGATGACTGAAAAAGAAATAATTGTGAGGCAATTGCCTATATCAGAAAAAGTGCCGAGGGAACGATAACCCTGTGAATTTTGGGGTAGTGAGGTAGCTGATCAGAGGAAGAGACACTTAAGCTTGGTCTTGAAGGGTAATTAGGTATTCTCCAAGGGAGACATTCCCTGTAGGGAAAAGTATATACAATGGCATAGAAATAAAAAAATAGTCACATTCATGAATATGTGGAAAGTTCTCATGTAACAGATGCTTGAGATCCAACGTTAGTCTCATTGGAAATGTTAAAATATGGCAGATCTTATATTTTATAGTTTTCAGTTAGCAAATAATCATTTATGAGGCCATCAGTAAAATATGACAATTTTTGGTTTTTAAAGATTGTCAGTGTGATGTATTTAGACACAGTCCATTGAAGCTTGATTCGGTTTTCTATTCTTATCATTTAAAAATATTTTTTCAACTGGGTGCAGTGGCTCATACCTGTTGCTCCAGCACTTTGGGAGGCTGAGGCGGGTGGATCACTTCAGATCAGGAGTTCGAGACTAGCCTGGCCAACATGGTGAAACCCCGACTCTACTAGAAATACAAAACTTAGCCGAGCATGGTGGTGGGCACCTGTAATCCCAGCTACTTGGGAAGCTGAGGCAGGAGAATCGCTTGAACCCAGGAGGCGGAGGTTGCAGTTAGCAGAGATCATGCCATTACACTCCAGCCTGCGTGATAGAGCAAGACTCTGTCTCAAAAAATAAAATAATAAAATAAAATAAATTTTGTGTCCATACTGGGTTAATGACAAAGTGAGTTAAAAATTTAAAAATCAATATGGAATTTATTCTATGAGGCAAGCATTCCTCACCAGATATAACACATTTCTGAAAATAATTCTCTGAACTAATTATGTCACGTTGGGCAAATCACACTACCTGTTTGAGTTTTACATTCTCATCTATAGAATGAGGGAAATGGGTGGGTTTTAAAAGGTCCACCCCAATCCTGATATCCTATAATCCAATAAATAAAAATTGTTCTTTTTACTATTCCCAGTTATATAGGTGTATTTCTATAGCATGAGTCATTGTGATAGTCAAACCTTTCTCAATAATGACTATTTACTGTGAAAGTCTAGTTGAGGTTTATTGCCACTTTGAGTATGTCACGTGTTTCAACCAATTTATTATTTTATGTGCATTATTTCATTAAATAGTTAGAATAACCCTGTAGGGCAGATCATATTTTCGTTTTATAGTTTAAGAAATCAGAGGCTCAGGCAATCTAAATAACTTGGCTGAGCTCACTCAGCTGGTCATGGAGTGACTGGGGTTTGAACTCCAATCTCAGTCCCCTTGCTCTTTAGGGGGACAAGCAGGCTTGTCCAGCCCATGGCCTGTGGGCCACCTGTGGCCCAGGATGGCATTGAATGCAGCTCAACACAAATTCGTAACATTTTTTTAAACATTATTAGACTTTTTTTTGCAACTTTTTTTAAGCTCATAAGCTATCATTAGTGTTAATATATTTCAGGTGGCACCCAGGACAATTTTTCTTCCAGTGTGACTCAGGGAAGCCTAAAGATTGGACCCCCCTGCCCTAAAGTCTGCATTCTTTATCAAGGACTGCATTCTGGGTTAATGGCACATGGTTATTGCTGTAATATCATGTCTTGCGGACATCACAGAGGTAATATCATGCCTTCTAAAAAGATAAGTCTCAGGCCGGGTGCGGTGGCTCAAGCCTGTAATCCCAGCACTTTGGGAGGCCGAGGCGGGTGGATCACGAGGTCAACAGATCAAGACCATCCTGGTCAACATGGTGAAACCCCGTCTCTACTAAAAATTACAAAAAATTAGCTGGGCATGGTGGCGCGTGCCTGTAATCCCAGCTACTCAGGAGGCTGAGGCAGGAGAATTGCCTGAACCCAGGGGGCGGAGGTTGTGGTGAGCCGAGATTGCGCCATTGCACTCCAGCCTGGGTAACAAGAGCGAAACTCCGTCTCAAAAAAAAAAAAAGATAAGTCTCACTCCGAGAGCAGTTGTTTCACATTTTAAACAGTGAAAAAAGGTACTTTCTAAAGTGTTGACTAGTGGACCATGAATTTTAATGTATCACCAGGCAGCATATCAGATACAGGAAGAAAGTATTATTATTCTCCATAATAGGAGAGGACCTAGAAACCACCTATTTTTTTTTATTGAGACGGAGTCCTGCTCTGTTGTCTAGGCTGGGGTGCAGTGGCGCTATCTCAGCTCACTGCAACCTCCGCTTCCTGGGTTCAAGCAATTCTCCGGCCTCAGCCTCCGAAGTAGCAGGAACTACAGGCATGAACCACCACACTCAGCTAATTTTTATATTTTTAGGAGAGATAGGGTTTCACCACATTGGCCAGGGTGGTCTTGAACTCCCGACCTCAAGTGATCCATCCACCTTGCCTCTCAAAGTGTTGGGATTACAGATGTGAGCCAACGTGACTGGCCTCACCTGTTTAATACATTATGAAATTCTAATCCTTTGGCACTACTCACTTGGGTTCTGCTCCAGAATCTATCCTAATGGCTCAAGACATGCTGGTTCTTAGCTGGTCCCTCTGCCTGGGGGATCATTTCCCTAAGTTCAAATACCCTTCAGATTTCAGGCTAGTTGTCATTTCAGAGAGCCTATTCCTAATCTTCCAATTTAATTTAGCCACTCTATGTCATTGCCCGATTGACTCTGCATTGCCTATGTCACTCTAGGATATTTTTCTTATTTATTTATCGAACTGCTTCTATTTGAATGAAGCTCAGTGAGAGCAGAGATTTTCTTTTATTCACTGCTTTATTTCTAGCATCTGGAATAGTGGCTTGGTCACAGTAGGCTTGCTCTGTCTATCAGTCTGTCAATTCATCTGTCTATCCGTCAGTCCATCCCTCCATCCATCCATCCGTCCATCTGTCTCTCCATCCGTCAGTCCGTCCATCCATGCATCCATCTCTCCATCCATTTGTCCATCTGTCCATTCATCCATCTATCCATCTCCATCTGTCTAGTTATCTGTATCTATATCTCTCTCCCCTCCCTCCATCCATTCTGTCTTCAAATGGTTCAGTCATATGAAATAATTATGAAATAAAGCAGTAAGTCTACAGTAAATCTGCTTCTCCAGTTAGGATGTGGGAAGACCTTATTTTCTTTATAGTTAATCACTTAATTCTTGATTTCTCTTTCAGATTCTCTCTTCTTGTATCACGTCAAAGATACAAAAGAATGCTGAGAAACAGCTTTAATTTTAAAATTCTAATTTTGAAAAATTATTTCTCATAGCCTCTGTGTTTTTGTTTTATTTTGCCAGGGTTTTGTGTATGAATGACAAGGATACCTTCAGCCAGCTCATTCTGGATGAAAGAACGATTACACTAAGTCTCCTCCACCCTTCCTCTGTGGGTAAGTTTGAGGCACTTACATATCTCAAATGCTTTAAAAGTATATGTCAGTCTGTATTTCTTTGCTTAATCACCACGTTCTCATGTAGTTTTGTTAATTGCACTTTGTATGAGAATTTGAGTGGGAAAAGCCAGTTCCCCCAGTGCTGATAACTGAGGTTCCTGCAAGCAGCGGGGCTCGAGATCTCAGTAGATTATTACAAAAGCACTTTAACTGGAAATGCTGGATGATCCAGTCAGTGTGGAAAACGGGTATGCCAGGCCTCTGTGGGACCTGAGGTGGAGAAGATGTGGTCTTTTCCTTTTTTACTTTTTGAGACAGAGTCTCGATCTGTTGCCCAGGCTAGAGTGCTGTGGTGCTGTCTTCGCTCACTGCAGCCTCCGCCTTCTGGGTTCAAGTGGTTCTCCTGCCTCAGCCTCCTGAATAGCTGGGATTACAGGTGCCTGCTAACATGCCCGGCTAATTTTTATATTTTTAGTAGAAACAGGGTTTCACCATGTTGGCCAGGCTGGTTTCGAACTCCTGACCTTGTGGTCTGCCTGACTTGGCATCCCAAAGTGCTGAAATTACAGGCATGAACCACTGCATTTCTGTCCTTTTATGTGACAAATACTGATAGAGCACACACTTTCACTCCAAACAAAAAGGACTTCCTGCTTGAGAACACATAGAGCATATAATTTCACACACACACACACACACACACACACACACACACATCTTATTGCACCTTAGGTTCTGGGGCACATGGACATAACATGCAGGATTGTTGCATAGTTACATACATGGCAATGTGGTTTGCTGCCTCCATTCCCTTGTAGAGCATATAATTTCTAACTGGAGTTGCAGGATCAGGTAAGCTCAGGGGATATGGATTTTAGGAAGCCACTGAGGAAAGATCAGATTCCAACTGTGACCTGAAAGCTGTTTCATTCCAACTGAGGTGTTTTACTAATTGGGTGTGTTGGTGTCGCAGGTGAAGTACTAGAGCGGGAAGGCTGAACAGTTCCCAGCGGTGTTTGAAATGGTAACAGGTAGTTCCCTGGACTGTTTGCCGTGTTTGGAGTTCACGTGTGCTTAGCTGAAGCACACTCAGATAAACATAACCTTCCCGGGCATAATCTGCTGTTTTTCTTAGATTACCCCAGCTTTCCTTGGCTGACTGCTTCATGCTTTTTGATCTCAGCTCAAGGTATTCCCTCTGAAGGACCCCTGACCACCCAATCTAAAGGACACCCAGTCACTGCTACCACGCCACACTATCTTAGTTCCCTGCAGAGTGCTTGTCCATCACTGATCATTTTCTCCTTTGCATATTTACATATCGACTTGTTGTCTTTCTCTGCCTTCTTTGGAGCAGAAGCTCCATAAAGGCTGGAACCTTGTCTGCCGGGTTCCCCTCACCTGTGTCCAGAGCCCACAGCAGGTATGTTTTGTCTGAATGTATGAGTTGAACAGTTATATGAGGCTCATTGTATAAATTGCTCAGTGTCACATGGTGAGATATTTATTCACAGTGGAGGATATTTAAAATATTTAATTTGTCTTCTGTTTTTTTTTGAGATAGAGTCTTGCTCTGTCACCAGGCTGGAATGCAGTGGCATGATCTCAGCTCGCTGCAATCTCTGCCTCCTGAGTTCAAGTGATTCCCCTGCCTTAGCCTCCTGAGTAGCTAGGACTACAGAGATGCACCACCACGCCTGGCTAATTTTTTGTATTTTAGTACAGACGGGGTTTCACCATGTTGGCCAGGATGGTCTCGATCTCGACTTCGTGTTCTGCCTGCCTCGGGCTCCCAAGGTGCTGGGATTACAGGCGTGAGCCACCTCACCCTACCCCTGTTTAAACATTTTTTGAAATGTGAATTCCTCCCCTACATTATGATCAAGTTTAACATTATATTACATGTAGACAGGAGGTTGTCTAATATCTCTGGGTTTGTTTATAGATATAATACATATTAAAGGTAGAAATTTTGAACCTAATGGGTAAGCTTTATTGTGTTGACCTTTTTTTTTTTAAATCATCTACATTGGAATGTCCAAAAGTAGTATCTAATTAGACTTGGAGAGGTGTTTAGGCTTTAACGATGTTCAAAACTGCTACTGAAACACACTATTTGGAAGCGTAAGGTCTAGAGTTATTTGGAGTCAGACTGCCTGAGTTCTTTGAATCTGGTCTTCGGCATTTTCTGGCAAGTGATCTGGGGTACGTTATTACTGTTATTTTTTTGAGACAGGGTCTCACTCTGTTGCCCAGGCTGGAGTGAAATGACATGACAAGGTTGGCTCACTGCAACCGTGACTGCCCAGGATCAAGCAATCCTCCCACCTCAGCCTCCTGAGTAGCTGGGACCACAGGCACCCACTACCGTGCCTGGCTAATTTTTTTTATTATTTGTAGAGATGAGGTCTTGCTATGTTGCCCAGGCTGGTCTTGAACTCCTGGACTCAAGTGATCTGCCCACCTCAGCCTCCAAAGTGCTAGGATTACAGCCTGAGCCACTGTGCCGGCTGGGTAGGTTATTTAACCTCTCGATGCTTCACTTTCCTCTTATGTAAAATGAGGGCAATAAAATTTTGCTTGTAGAATTATGATGATTATGTGAATATATGGGTTATATAAATTTCTGTTGTTTTATTTGGTATATACTCAGATTTTTATATATTCAATATACCAATTAGGTTTAAAAATAATATATTTGGGTCCCGGTCATTAGATGGAGACACAATTTGAAATTTGTTTTTGTATAACGTTTGTTTTGTTTACATGGAGAATTTGTTTTGAATTGAAAACAACAGTCCATTCATGAAATCAACAGAAAGAAATAGACTTGCTTATATTAAGTTATACTTTTAATGAGTTATAATGACAATAAAACTGTTTGCAAACATGCTATTTTCTGTGTCTATAACAATATAGTTGTCTTTTTGGTATCAAACAGACCTGGTTTGAGTTTTCCAGCTGTGCTTGTTTTGTAGCCTTCCATAAATTGCTAAGCTTTGCTTGGCCTCAGTTTCCTCGTTTGTAAAATAATGATAATAGTACAGTTCAGAGAGGACTGCTGTGAGAATTCAATAAGAAAACATATGTCACCCTCCTGGCATGGTGCCTCCCTGACAGTGTAGGTGCTTAATAGACCTTAGTGTCTTTCTTTCCCTTTCTCCAGACCGTACATGTAAGATACACATCGATGGCCAGAGGGAGGTGACCACCGTGGGGAAGGTGTGGAAATGGCATCCTTTACGTAATGACGAAGGGAGCACGTTTAGCTTAGCAAGTGGTAAGCTTAGCAGGGAACCCAATTCCGACCTTGAAGTGTCTGAGCAGATGCCATGTGTAAGGGAAGCAGGGATGCTGCGTCTCATCTGTTTCTGTAGGAAGCTCTAGGACCTACATGTATCAGTAGTGAAAGGCCACTTTGAGTTTCATGTGAGGAAGACTTTCCTGTGGAGTAGTGGAAAGATGAGATGGTGCCTCTCTTTGCAATAATGAGCGTCCCAGGGCCGGATATGGTTTCTGAAGGCTGGTTGGCTGCAGATCAAGAGGTCTGTAGAGAGGACTCCTCCATGCACCAGGAAGGCAAGTGACATGGCCTCTGCAGTCCTTTCCAGCGTCTCTATGTCAGTGATCCCCTTTCCAAATTCATGCCTGATTATCTGCTTGCCTTGGCCAAGTTGGTTGTGTGCCCCCAGACACCTAGTGTTTAGCCTTCTGAAGTCAGGAAGTTGGGACTGCTTATTGTTTTGATTAAAAATGTTTTCTTAGGATTGAAATTTTTCTGTTTGCATTTTGTCATTTGCAGCAGAGGCTGCAAACTGGCAGGTTTTGGGCTGGTTCTGAGCTGTGGATAACCTTTGTTTGGTCTAGAAAATGTATCCCCAATCACAGTGTTAACTAAATTTAAATTGATTGCCTGCATTTAAAAACTAAGAATTTTACCAAAAAAGCCACACTTTTAGTGGAGTTTCTTCAAAACGTGGGTTTATCTGGCAACATCGGGCTCTGCCTTCTCAGCTGGCAGTGGATAGCTGAAGCTGTGTAGATGGCAGCCTTTTGGTTGGGTCATTCGTCCGCTGGTTTGCCACAGCCCCCACCACTCCACACAGTCTTCCCAACACCAAATGTCAGTTGTCATTTTTCACTTACTTGCTTTCTTTTAGTAGAAGTAGTAGGAGAAAACTGAAAAAATTATTTTATCAACGTCCATAGTCGTGGAAAAACTAAAGATATTTTCATGGTTTCAAACTTCAGAAAAATAGAAAAGGGTATATTTAGTATGTGTGCCGACGTATACTTGTACCAGCCTAACTTTTAAATGTGTTTTCTGTGTCTTAAGACTTCATGACTCAGTCAGGCCTGCTTCACTCACACATTTGCTTTTTTTGAGACAGGGTCTTACTCTGTTACCCAGGCCGGGGTGCAGTGGCACGATCTCAGCTCACTGCAGCATCAACCGCCTGGGCTCAAGTGATCTGCCTGCCTCAGCCTCCTGAGTAGCTGGGACTACAGGCATGCCATACGATTAGCATATATATGTTTTAAACATTGTTAAAGCATATATATATACACATATACATATATGTATAAATATATATAACATATATACATATACATATTATATATGTATACATATATATAACATATACATATACATATATATGACATATATGTTTTGAACATTGTTAAAGCATAATATGCATATATATGTTATATATGTATATGTGTGTATATACATATATACTTGTTATATATACCATATATACATGTAAAAAATACACATGCACACACACACACTAAATATATAACATGTATATATGTATCTATTTAACATATGTCTATATGTATATATTTAACATGTATACACATATATAAACATGTCTATATATGTTAAAGCATGTATATACACATATGTATGCACACACATGTAAACTATATTTAGTGCATGTGTGTGTGCGTGTATTTTTTTTTTTTTGTAGAGATGAGGTTTCACAATGTTGCCCAGGTTGGTCTTAAATTCCTGAGCTCAAGTGATCCACCTGCCTCAGCCTCCCAAAGTGCTGGGATTACAGGCGTGAGCCACCGTGCCTGACTTCACTCGTATGTTTAAATAGCTCTGAAGGTATTTGAGTGTGACCCCTAATCTGGACGTTAAATTTTCCCTCACTCTTTAGACGTGACTCATTTCCTTCCTCTTCTTCAGTTCTCTGTAGGCATAGAGAGGTTGCCTGGCAGCAGATCTCCTTTGCCTTTCCTAATGTCCACTGTGGCCTCCTGGCTTGGTGAAATGGGAACAATGTGTAATTTGCACACATCTTTGGCCTATGGAACTAAGTTCCATTGTGCCTTTTCCAGTGGACCCCCAGTCCGCCCTAGATTTCATGGCCCCACGCAGATAGAGCCTGCAACCTCATTGACTCTGAGTGGATATAACTGAGAGAGTGGGCTTAATGTCTACTAAGGCACAGATTGAAGTCTCGGGACTCTGTTCTTTGTGCATCTTGATGTTTAGGTACGAAGAGAATTTGGCTTTGTTTTGCTTTACAGAGTGCTTCTGGCTTCATTGTGAAGATAGACCAGAAGGGAGGAAAGAGCTTGGCTGGAGAGAGCAGGGAAGATCCATGGTAATTGACTTCAGATTTTTTAGGGTGGTTGGTGGAAGAGAGGCCTAGGATGTGTGTTGATAATGATAGAAAGACGAATGAGTGGAATTTTTCGAATAACTGATTTAAAGTTGCTGGAAGGAGCTCTCATCTATCAACTTGTTATTTACCGATGGAATGTGCCCCCTAACAGATCTGTGAACTTCCCATCACTCAATGTATTTAGGTAAATGAAAGTGGCCCCATCTGTCAGGATGTCGTAGGAGGTTCTCAAATTAGAAGGAAGGTTGGACTAGATAGATCACCTCTCTTGTCTCTTTGGAACTCAGATTCAATTATTCTCTGAATTAAACTTACTAGGCATCTTCTAGCTTGAACAATTTTACATCAGCCCATAAAGAGAAAATATTATGAGTTGACTGAGAGGCTGAATATAACATTATAACTTTAACTACAGTTAGATCTGGGCAGATTACTTTCACTTTCCTCAATGTTCCAATATAATTTTGTTCCTTCAAAAATGTTGTGAACAGATGTACCCAGTGGCTAGTATTTATAAGCTGGAATTTTACAAGCCTATTTCCCTAAAGGATTTTTTTTCTACCAAAAACTTTATTTCACCTTAGCTGAAACTCATTTTATAGGTTTCTTTTTGGGTAGCATAATTTTTAATACAGATGTTATTTACATAAAAGTATTACCTGTTACTCATTGTGAAGCATTCTATTTAATTTCAAAAGTTAGGATTTTGTACATATTGTCATTTGTTAAGGTGTATTTAATTTGGATATAATATGACCTATAGAAAAAAGTCACTTTAAAGAAAAACTTTCCAAAAATGATTTTTATATTAATGCATAATAGATGTACATAGTTTAGGGCTATGCATGGTAATTCAACACATTCATATAATTTGTAAAGATCAAATCAGCGTAATTGGGATACCTATCACCTTGAATATTTGTATTTTATGTTAGAAACATGAGAACTATTCTTTTGTAGCTAGTTTGGAATTTATAATAGATTATTGTAAACTAGAGTCACCCTACTGATCTACCTAACACTAGGTTTTATTTCTTCTATCAAACATTTGAACCCATTAATTAATCTGTCTTCATCCTTTCCTTCCTACCCTTCCCAGCCTCTGGCAACCACCAATCTACTCTCTCCTTTCATTAGATTAACTTTTTTTTTAAGTCTCCCACATATAAATGAGAACATGTGATATTTGTCTTTCTGTGCTTGGCTTATTTCACTTAACATAATGGCCTCCAGTTTCAGCCACGTTGCTGCAAATGACATGATTTCATTCTTTTTATGAGGGAATAACAATCTATTATGTATATATACCGCACCTTCTTTATCCGTTCATCTCTTGATGGGTACTTAGGTTGATATATTTTGGCTGTTGTGAGTAGTGCTGTAATAAACATGGGAGTGCAAATACCTCTTTGATATTATTGGTTTTCCTTCTTTTGGATCTGCACCCACCAGTGGGATTGCTGGGTCATATGGTAGTTCTATTTTTAGTTTTTTGGGGAACCTCCAAACTGTTCTCCATAGTGGTTGTACTGATTCACATTCCTACCAAGAGTGTACAAGGATTTCCCTTTCTCCACATCCTCTCCAGCATCTGTTGTTGTGTATCATTTTTATAAATGCCATTTTAGCTGGGGTGAGATGATATCTCATTGTAGTTTTGGTTTGTATTTCTCTGATGATTAGTGATGTTAAACATTTTTTCATATACCTGTTGGCCATTTGTCTGTCTTCCTTTGAGAAATATCAGTTCAGCTTTTTGGCCACTTTTAATTGAATTATTTGTTTTTTGCTATTAAGTTGTTTCAGCTCTTTATGTATCATGGTTATTAATCCTTTGTCAGATGGGTAGTTTGCTGATATTTTCTCCCATTTTGTGGGTTGTCTGTTTAGTTTGTTGATTGTTCCCTTTTTTTGTGCAGAGCTTTTTGTTCTTATTTTTTTGAAACAGAGTCTTCTGTCACTGTGACTGGAGTGGATTGGCTGGAGTGCGTTGGTGTGATCACAGCTCACTGCAGCCTCCAACTCCTGGGCTCAAGCCGTCCTCCCACCTCAGTCTCCTGAGTAGCTGGGAACACAGGCATGCACCATCATAGCTGGCTACTTTTTCAATTTTTTGTAGAGATGAAGTCCAACTCTGTTGCTCAGGCTGGTCTCACACACATGGCCTCAAGTAATCCTCCTTCCTTGACCTCTGAAAGTGCTGGGATTACAGCCGTGAGCCACCGTGCCTAGCTTGTAGAAGATTTTTACCTTGATGTAATTCCATGTGTCAATTTTTGCTTTGATGCCTGTGTTTTTGTGGTCGTACACAGAAAGTCATCACCCAGACTGATGCCCTGGAGCATTTCCCAAATGTTTTCTTCTGGCTGTTTCATATTTTCAGGTCTTAGATTTAAGTCTTTAATTCATTTTGACTTGATTTATATGTATAGTGAGAGATGGAGTCTAATTTTATTCTTCTGCCTGTTGTTAACAGTTTTCCCAGCACCATTTATTGAAGAGACTGTCCTTTCCCTGTTACATGTTCTTGGTGCCTTTGTCAAAGATAAGTTGGCTATAAACGTGTGGATTTATATCTGGATTCTCTGTTCTGTTCTGGTGTATTTTTTTTTTTTTCTTTCTTAAGTCACTGCCATGCTCATTTGGTTCTTATAGCTTTGCAGTAAAATTTGAAGTCAGGTAGTTTGATGCCTCTAACTTTGTTCTTTTTGATGTATACCTTTGGCTATCTGGGGTCTTTTGTGGTTTTACATAAGTGGTTTTACATTGTGGTTTAGAATGTTTTTTTTCTATTTTTGTGAAGAATGTCATTGGTATTTTGATAGGGATTGCATTGAATCTGTAAATTGCTTTGGGCAGCAGTGCCATTTTAACAATATTAATTCTTCCAATCCATGAGCATGAAATATCTTTCCATTGTGTAATGTGTCCTCTTTGGTTTATTTTATCAGTGTGTTACAGTTTTTATTGCACGGATCTTTTACTTCTTTGGCTAAATTGCTTCCTAGGTATTTTACATTCGTTGCAATGGTTTTAAATGGGATTGCCTACTTGATTTCATTTTCATATTGTTCGCTGTTGGTGTATATAAATGCTACTGATTTTGTAGGTTGATTTTGTATCCTGCAATTTTGCTGAATTCATTTATCAGTTCTAACAGTTTTTGGTGGAGTCTGGGTTTTTCTAAATATAAAACCATGTCATGTGTGAACAAAGGCTAATTTGAACAAAAGGGTAATTTGACTTCTTCCTTTACAATTTGGTTGCCTTTTATTTCTTTCTCTTGCCCAATTGCCCTAGCCAGGATTTCCAGTACTATGTTGAATACAAGAGATAAAGGAACAACTTTTATGAAGAATTAGTTTTTTTTTTTTTTTGAGACAGAGTCTCGCTCTATCGCCCAGGCTGGAGTGCAGTGGTGTGATCTCGGCTCACTGCAACCTCTGCCTCCCGGGTTCAGGTGACTCTTCTGCCTCAGCCTCCTGAGTAGCTAGGACTCCAGGTGCATGCCACCATGCCCAGCTAATTTTTTTATTTTTAGTAGAGATGGGGTTTCACCATATTGGCCATGCTGGTCTCAAACTCCTGACCTTGTGATCTGCCTGCCTGGGCCTCACAAAGTGCTGGGATTACAGGCATAAGCCATCATGCCCAGCCTGAATAATTAGTTTTAAATCCTCATTTTTATGTCACTTAATATTTATACATTCTTGGAAAAGTAATAGGTCATTTGGTGATATTATTGGGGCTTGCTTGTTATGTAAGCAACACTTGGAGTTTATGAATATACCATAAAATCTCTCTTTTCTGTGATAATTGACTGCATTAAAATTTGTTTGTGCATTTAATGCCTTTGAAACTCTTAGAAAAAGTTTGTATTAGGGAATTCAGCTTTGCAATGGCTTTCAAGCAATATGTGCCATGGTAGTATTGCATTTTGAATTTTCTCAAAATTGACTATTGATTTAGAAGACATCTCCAGTTTGCTTTTAAAAATGTTAAAAATTCACTTTCTTCTTCATTTTGTTTTCATCCAATATATGGCCATTGAATAATTAATGATGGCATGGTATAAGGCTCACAAAAAAAATGATGCGTAGTAACTGTAGGGGAAGAAAATGACCAGAACTTTAGGCTCCGTCACATTCTTCATTACAGTGCTGTTAGGCAATGGCATTGAAGTTATTATTATTAATGCTATGTTTACCCATGTTTTTCATTCATTTGTTATATGTAGGATTTGTCTGAATCCGTTAATATGCAGTATAGTCATGTATCACTTGGCAGTGGGGAAATGTTCTGAGAAAAGTGTCAGGCGATTTCCTCATTGTGTGGCCATCACAGAGTGTACTTACAGAAACCTGGATGGTACAGCCTGCTACGCACATCAGCTGTATGGCATAGCCTATTGCTCCTAGGCTGCAAACCTGTATGGCATGTCACTGTACTGTAACACAATGGGAAGTTTTTGTGTATCTAAACATATCAGGGACATGGCCGAAACTGGAAACCATCATTCTCAGCAAACTGACACAAGAACAGAAAACCAAACACTGCATGTTCTCACTCAGAAGTGGGTGTCGTACAATGAGAACACATAGACACAGGGAGGGGAACATCACATGCTGGGGCCCGGGGGTTGGGGGACTAGGGGAGGAATAGCAGGGGGTGGGGGGATTGGGGAGGGATAGCATTAGGAGAAATACCTAATGTAGATGACGGGGCGATGGATGCAGCAAACCACCACCATGGCATGCATATACCTATGTAACAAACTTGCATGATCTGCACATGTACCCCAGAACTTAAGGTATAAAATTTTTTTTTTAAATCTAAACAGAGAAAAGGTACAGTAAAAATATGTATTATCATCTCATGGAGCCACTGTATATGCAGTCTACTGTTGGCCATAACGTTGTTATGCTGCACATGACTGTATTCAGTTTATTGACCAAGACTGTTGGGTTCTGTTTTCTTCT